CTGTCATCGTAATTTCATGCTAGTATCAATCAACTTATGTTTTTCTTAAATTTACCACCGAGGGCGTGATTTCGGCTCGTGCCGAGCGTACAGGCAGCAAATCTCGGCACATGCCGAGTTCGGTCCCAAGCATCCATCGGGACCGAGATCGAGTTCTTTTCGGCACGTGCCGACTCGGTCCCGACCGTTCACACACAATTTTCGGCACGTGCCGACTCGGTCCCGAGTCTCAGCACGTGCCGAGATCTCTAACGTGAACGCCACTTAATGTCAACCAATTAGTAGGCATACCTGGGCTAATCAAATATTGTTTTTAAAGAATGTGAGCTATTATTATTTTGACATGACTTTAATCTTGACCCGAATTAATCCCAAACGATAAGCATTATGGGATTATAGAACACGTCAATGCAGATCGGAAAAGTGGTATTATTATCATCGGATCAATAAACTTTATTTATGTTAAAAATACTTTTGAACGGATTATAGTAAAGCTGAATTAACAATTCTGCCGAATATGCATTGCGATTTTAATGCTAGCAGAGAAGCCGCAATAAAAGACGAGTCTGGTATTCTAATGGGGGGGCGGTCATAAAGGGGAGTTGTCATCACTTTGCCACAAGGTCAATGTAAAGAATGTAAATATTAGGTATATAATTGTGCTCGTAAACTTATTCACATTTTTTATTTACTAATACCCTTGTTCTAGAGAGAACTGTGGTACTATTTAATTATTTGGCTAAAATCAATTGTATTATGAACGAACTATGTACATGTAACGTTGTCGCAATTTCAACGCTGTATAATTTCGATGTTAATATCATGGATAGGGGCAATAGACATTTCACTTTCTACTGCGATGTTCATCAAAGTACTGACTGGCTGGCTGGAGTACTGTGCTAGTACTCATGTTATACACAATGCAATATTTTATTTTATTAAGGGACTGCACAAAAAGTACAGGGGGCGGTAGGCCGGTGTTATATGAAAGTCGCGTAAAACATTTGCATGAAATTTGCCTACCTCTCCCTTGAATGATGCATGGAAAATTGTGACCCTCCCTCTTTTCTAAGTGTAAAGGATAGTACATGTATTACTACCGGGGTAACTTCTACCCAAACAGTTAGCCCAGCTCTCATTGAGAAGAGAACAATGTATGATAATGTGTATGTACCACATACACAATTTTACTGGCAGCTTTATGAGTGTTGTGTGTTGAATCGTGTGCATTCTTTAAAATACGTGATACACATGTTCAATACCACCATTATATATTATTATTACATACTCTAGATATACACTTGTTTTATAACAACACTGAGCCAAATATTACTGGGCTAACGAATTGCAAAAGCATCGAGTAGCCTTTTATCCAAAGCTTGTTAGAAGACTTGCCTACCAAACAGTACAATATGTTAATGAGAAAAAGAATCATATTCAGAGTATTTCTCTCTTGAATCAGTGTGATGTTGAATGAAATAAAATATATAATTCAAAACTAGCTTGAACAATAAACCTATAAAATGCACACGATACCAAGATATAAGTTCGGTCAATCAGGGACTGCCAGCTTTATCCACGTTCGAACGAGGACTTATAATTCGGTCTCCGTCCTTCCGTCCAGAGTCATATTTCAGAACCCTGTGGACCAAATCTGTTCATTCTGTGCATGTGTCCCGTACTTTACCTGACACATATGCACATGCAGTGGTTTACTGATTCAATCCAATATGTCTGACTTGCAGCCATTTTGTTTTTTGAAAATGTGGTATCTTATGCATGCTTTGTCAGTTTTTGTTAAAATTTGGTACATGCATTGTACGTTTTAGATGTCCACGGAAATGTGTTTAACAATCGGATTAAAGATAGCTAGCTGACTGGTGGCTATCTTGTTTTTTGACCATACAATATATCACCAAGGCTTTTAGACCATTTTCATTCATGTTTGGCATATACATCATAAATATAGGAAGACATACATGTCTTTGATGATCCAAAATGTCCAACTGGCAGCCATCTTGTTTTTTCAAAATATATTTTTTCTCTTCAAATTATACATGTTATGATACATGTCAATGACAATTAGTTTCACAATCGGATCAAAGATGGTTGACTGCCTGTAATCTTGCTTTTTGGCCATACCACTATATCTCTGTACATGAGCCCAGGCAAAGAAAATTCAGTTTGGATACAAAAAATGCATGAATAGCCTGTGGCCACATACTTCGATTTTAGAAGAGTAATTTAATGCATCTAATTTTCTGTTGATACTAGACTAGCCATTCGCAACGACTTGTTAAATAGGTAAGCTTGTGGCTGCGTGCCAGCACAGCCACCATACTAACAAAAGTTTCTCCTACCTTGGGGTAAATATAGCCATGTAGGCGTGAGTAGGCCCTCGCCGGCTGAGCGGCATCAGACCTCATTGTCAGGCTAGGGGTTAATACATCCCTGTGAAGAAAATTCTACAATCATACTACACCTACACTTAAAAAATATAACAAAGAAAGCCAAATATACTGTGAAGGGAAGGGTGGGTGGGGAAAAAAGGTCTGTCTTATAGCCAAACATTGCAGTGGAATGAGAAAGGAGAACCATAGGTAACTGGTTGTACCTTTATAGTAGAAAGGTGCTAGTCACACAACTGCTAGATCAAATAGTATTCATAATCGTGGCTTTTAATAATCAGGGTATTAAGTAATGTAATGTAATGTAAAAGTTGCATTTGCATATTAATTACAATCTGCTGAGATACATGAAAACAGTGGCTATTGGTATTGTAAACACATATTATATCATAATATTACACTACAATAAATCTGTGTGTTTTAAGGTATAGATGCATGTTCGTGGGCACTCGGAGTGGATTTTTTTTTTTTTTTTTTTTTTTTTTGCTGTTCTTACCCAGACAGTCTTGGCTAGATAGTGTTGAAATTTCGGAGCATTGTCAATGCTGGAACATGCCCAAAAATGGATTTTAAAATATAGGGAATCGAGACACGCGTATGTGATTAAAAGTCCCGAAAGTTTGTTTATGTTGCTCTTTAATTGACAAGTCACTGTTGATGTTATATGCAAATGAGTTGCTGGCCTCAGTTACGGTGCGGCGATGTGTAACTTCCTGTCCGCGGCCCTGTTAACTTACCTCAAGCGCTACCAACTAGTCTTGCAAACTACAAAAAAAA